AATTATCATTAATAAACATATTTTCATATTTTTCAATGTCTGATTACTTTATGTATAAAAGGAAATGAGTGAATTATTATTATTATTTTTTTTTTTGTTTTTTTTTTTAATGTCGAAGATAATGAAAGTATGGATAAATTGAAGAATTGAATAAAAGGAGTGAAAAGAATGAAAAAAAGAGAGGATGAAGAAGAAAAGGAATGTCAGACAGTTAGACCAATAAAATATTAAATAATAATAATGTTAGTAACGATTCAATTAAACTTCCTTCTATTTGTAAAAGAAGTCGAGCTTGATTCGTGTTTGCTATGCATTTCATGGTCTTACAAAAAATAATAAAAATAATTAGATTATGAATTACCATTTCCATGCGTTTTTTTTTTTTTTGATTGTTACCTATGTTACCTTTGTGAAATCTTCAGAATTACACCAATTAATCTACAGAGCATTCTTGTGATCAATTAACATAATTATAACGATCAATTATGCGTCTCGATGATCCCTCTTGTATGGCATCACACGTTTATCGAATATATTGGAGAAGGTTTATATGGAAGTGGATGATCTCTCGTAGCATAACTAATAAATAATAATAATAATAATAATAATAAATTTTTTAACAAATTAAAGTTATATATGTACAATATATATGTACAAATCAATGTATTTACCCTAAAGTTTCCAAGATTAATTTTAATTGAGGACCGATTGGACCACCAGAATAATCTCCACTTTTATCAAGTTGATATTGTATCGACCTTCCAGCAACAACACCAGGTCTCATTAAAAAATCTTTGGTTCTCGTGTATGTAGAAAATTGTAAATGATTTAAACTTGATCTTGAAAAAGGATTCAAACTTGTTTCTAACGTAATATTTTTTTTATCATGTGATTTAAATATAAGAGTACTCGGTTTACAAGCCAATTTATACAAATATTGAGCCACATAATATTCTGAAGATTCTTTAAAATAATTATATATTTCTTCATAAATTGAAAAGGTTTTTTTGGGAGAAAATTTTTGTAATTGAGGAGTGATTACATCTGACAGTCTCTCATTAGTAGATTTAAAATATATGTATTTATCAAAAACTTTTTCAATAAATCCATTAAATATATAAAGATTTTCAATAGAATTATTATCATTTTTAATTATTAAATTATTTGATAAAATTTTTGGTGTTAAAGCTTTATGAATTTTATCATTCCAGGCTGAAAGAAATCCTAATCCATGAATAAATTCATGAAGAACTACGTAAAGAAAATCAATTTGATTTTTTCCAATCGTTGAATTATCTTCAATAAACCAATAATCTATTTTGGAATTAAATCTGGCTCTAATATCAAACTCTCCATATTCAGGATGTTGTTTGAAACGAAATTGTTTAACTAATGATTGTGGATATAATCGATCAACTCCATCATCATCCCTTAATATTATTGATCTTGCAGGTCCCGCTGCTCCCATTATTCTACGAAATGGCGTATTTTTACATCGTTCTTTATCCGTTTCACATAAATCTATGAATGTTGCATTCACATTTATTTTTGTATTAAGAATTAATGTCTCTGATATTATTTGTCCAGCTATTTCAAATGTTTTTTTGGCTTTATCACAAAGTACCAAATCCTTATTATCGCAATGAAATGTTATATTAAACATATTTTCATCATAATTTATAGGAGCTTTTTGAGAGGTTTGAGGGTCTTGTTGTGATGAATTGTTAGTATATGAACATGGTATTCGTTCTACGTGAAAATAATTAAACGGATCAGGATGTTCGTAACAAATTGCTTTTACAAAGTCAAATAAAATTATCACAAAAAATAGAAAGGAGAGATTGATATGTAAATGAAAGTTCATTATGTTTCATATTATCTCATATTATTACCAAAACCGAACCGAAGACTTTTATATTAAAAAGAAAAAAAAAGGCTGTGTTATTTAATAATAATAATCGGGATTTCCATTTGAGGCTAAACCAAAAATTCTGATTGGCTGAAAATTTTATACTTTGTCATCAACCTGTCTCAAGCACATGGTCTAGACTTCAGGGGTGATAAAACAATATCAAAGTTTATTTTTTTTTATGCCTAATTGCCAAAATAAATAATTTTTCCGTTCTTTAATTACCCGGACATTCCTTCGAAATATTATTAATATAGCGGACTCTATATAGTTATTACATTTTAAGCAGCGATTACGAGTTAAAAGTTATTTTGTTTTCCTTTTTTTTTTTTTTTAATCATTCTTAATCTTCTATCTCTTATGTAGAATCAGATAATCAATAATTTATCGAATAAATTTTAAGTTTGTTCTATAATAAATAATAGAAATTTAAAATAAATATAATAAACTGAATATCTTTCTTTAAAAAACCTCCGTAAAAATTGTAAAGTTAATACTCACATTGGTTACATTTTAATAAGTTAATTATCATGGATTTCTCTGAACAAGTTAACAATTTGTTATGTGAAATGACTCGACGCGCAGCTTCCCAATCATGTTGTTTATTACCATAACTTGCCACATCACAAGCCTCTCTAACAGCTAGTGCTACTATAAGAGTTCTATTTCTTTCCTCGTATGTAAAATTTTCTTCAATTTGGTTTTGATTATTATCACCATTATTATTTTGATTTGTTTCTTGATATAATTCCATTAACTAAAATAACTTTAATAAAAATGTTGAATTTTATTTATTGATTTTTTTTTAAAAAAAAATTTCCACAAGGGGTATATACGGTAAAATATGTGAGGAAGAAAACGTATATTTATTATATTTCAATTTTAAGCATAATGGCGTTTCGATTATACTATTTCTAGATTTTTGTAATTGATATTGCAGGCTTGCAGCCAATCACATGAAAGTACAGAATTCTTGGTAAAGTTCTTTCTTAATGAAATTTTAATTAAAATAAAGAAATAAAAGCATAAAGATTATCCATCTTTATTATTTATCAATTCGCCTACTCATTTATAAGAAAAAAAATGAATTATCACGTGACCTGAACTCTAGTTAAAGAGGAGAGTTATACAGTGCTTTATTACAAATTGATAAATTGATTGTATTACCCCTGTTGTAAATTGACAATAATGGGAAGGATTTTCGACATAAAAAATACTGCTTTCCCTTCGATCACAATCCTGTTAATGATGCACAATCTTCTTTAATAATTTAAATAATGTTCAATACGGATAAAAACTATTTTCTAATGAGTCTGATGAAATCCGAATCAAACCGCAAGAACCCGGATCGAACATTAAATGTAATTTTGGAATAATAAAAAATTAATCTGTACCATGCATAGTAACCTCCCTTTACAAATCGTCATGACGTCATCTTTTATAAAAAATGATTAAATTTTTTACAAGGTAGAAATTGTGAATAAATTCAAGAATGCCATTTTTTTATCGGTTATTAGACATAGGGTCGCATTTCATTTCTCCCGACAATCATTTCACCGACAAGGGAATTTAGAATTAAGGTTAGGATTAGGTAAGGAAATTAGAGTTAGTATTAGGGTAGGATAAGGTTAGGGCTACCCTATAAAAAATTTTTCAGGATCACATGTCTGAGTTTCTTCGGAATAAAATGATCATTTATCGGAGTTTTTTCCAGAATTTTTTTTTATAGGGATAAGTGGATGAAATAATAATTGTCGGTTGTCACGGACTCACGGGGTGGCACGTTGCGCCACTACAATTTTTGGATATATGCCACAATAAGCTGGTGATACCCGAAATAAAAAAGATAGTCTTTAATCATTAATTCGGTTATACCATCTGGTATCCTTATACATCGAACAATATAACTTTCAGAATATTTATATGTTTAAAGTATTTTATAATTTCCAACCTTTTTTTTTCCTAATTCCTTTCCTTCATCAATTAATTAATTACAAATTTTTTCTTGAATATATCATATCGAAAAATGATGAATTCATTAAAATTCATAATATCTTTGATTTTTTTTGTCGTAATAATAATTTTTCCTAATAAAACTATTTCAATAAAATGTTTTAATCATCCAGATTTTTTCGAATTTTATAAAAGAAATCCTATAAATTATGAATTTATTAAAAAAAGATCATTAAAAACAAAAAGAACGTCATTTAATAATAATAATAATAATTTTCAAATAGAATTCACATGTGGAATTGATGATAAAATACTTTGTGATAAAGCTAGAAAAGGGTTTGAATCTGCTGGTCAGATAATTACTTCAACTATATCATTTAGGAACCCTGTAATAGTTAATGCATCATTTTATAATTTTTGTAAAACCGATAATCAATGTTCTTCTAGTAATGATAATAATATGGTAGCTGGTAAGTAAATTAAAAATAAAAAATAAAAATAAAAATAAAAACAAATACTAATAAATATTAATAACTATTGTAGGTGGAGCAAATCCAACAAAAACGATAGCATTAACAGATAATGATGGAATTGTAAGATATTACCCACAAGCTTTGGTTAAACAATTACCATTTGAACGTTATCCAGATTTTGAACCTTTTGATATCTCAGCAAAATTTAATTCTGAAGTAAATTATTGGTTTGAAGGAGATAAATTACCAATAAAATCTGATCAAACGGATTTCATATTAATAATTTTACATGAATTTATTCATGGATTAGGATTTGTTTCTAGTTGGAATGATTTTTTTAATTTTGCAAATCCACAAGGATTGACTCCAGTTCCAAGCGCCGATAATTTGAATTCGGGAATGTCATTTAACGGCTTCATTGAAAATATATTTGATAAATATTTGATATTTTTACCTTCAGGGGAATATGTATCAAATGTTGCCGCTAAAATTAATACAATAGTAAATGAAAAAGGAAAATTTTACCAAACTCCAGAGAATTTTATTACGACATTTAAATCTTCTTCTCAATATCAACAATCGGAAATGATGTTAAAAGCTGCTACAACATCTTTTTCTTTAGGATTTTTACCTAATAACACGAATAATTTAAGCGAAGCAATTATACTTGAGACCACATTAAATCCTTTTAGAACGGGATCAAGTCTCGGTCATTTTGATCTTAAAACTTATATGAATACCTCCGATTTTTTGATGACTTATATACAAGATCCAGGAATGACACTTGGTGATTATATGTCAATTAGTGGTAATTATACTGGTGGTCCAATTGGTCCAAAATTAAGACAAATTTTGGGGACAATGGGGTAAATATACGATTATATTCGTTATTATATATATATTATCATTATTATTATCAACGTTAATACTTTTTAATATTGTAGATATGTTATAAAAGATGTTTATATAAGTCCATATACACCCAGTGTATCTCTCAATAAATTTTCAACGGCCGCAACAATAAGTAGTAATATTGGTTTTATGATATTTATTTTTACAACAATCATAATTTTTAATATTTTAATATAATCATGTAAGGGCATATAATATAACTTAATTTAGTAATTAGTAATTTAATGAATAGAAGAAGGCTTTGTATAATCACATGATTATTGGCATTTGTGTAATAACCTTAAACCCTTAATTTATACATATTGTCATTTACCAAATTTCCTTTTTATGACTAATAGAATTAATCACTGTATACCTTGTTCGAATAAAGAAGTTTAGACAGATATTTTATATATTATTTTTATATTACAAATCATTAAATGACAAAGTCATGGTTGTCAGCCTTTTTGAATTTAAAAATCTACAAGCTTTCATATGAAACAGCTTGTGTACCAGATTTATAATTTTAGTTTTTTTACGTTCGGCCGATCTTATAATGTGACGATGTGATTTAAGACATAATATTTTTAGTCACTTTTTTATTTTTTATTTTTTTTTTTTTTAGCTTCTCTCTTAAAAAATGTCATTAAATTTTCTTTACTTTATACATTCTTTTCGCTTCTTTTAACCTATTTGCGTTCGTTGTTTAATTCTTTGTTATTCAGTTACTATTTTTAACATACTAGCGTTCGCTTATTTTTTTATATAAATATCAACATTTTCGAAATATTATCCTCTCTTTTTTTTAGAAAAAAAAAAAATATATAAAAATTAATTTTAGATTGAATTATTGATTAATTCAAACCATTACTTTTAAACAATGAAGGCTTTAACATTAACATTGTTGTTGTTATTATCTGTCACATGTTTAACATTGATCAAAGAAATAACAGCTCAATGTTATGATTATACGAATGCATTGGATATAAGTGCAAGAACTCCAATAACATGTAATATTGTTGATAATATTAAAGAACCACCGCCACCAATAGCTTCACCACAGCCACCATCGTCATCACCGCCACCATCATCATCGCCATCACTATTACCAACAGCTTCAATATCGCCACCAGTTTCATCACCTTTACCATCAGCTTCAATATCACCACCACCAACTTCACCACTACCATCAGCTTCTGCTAACTTAACAACAAATAATTTTATAATTAATTATAAATGTGAAATTGAGACAAATCAAGAATTATGTACAAAGGCACAAAAGTCTATAGAAAAAGTTTGCGAATTGTTAAAATCAAATCTAAATTTAATTACAAATATTAAAGTTGACGTTACTTTAAGAAATTTATGTCCTACAGATGCTAAACAACCATGTAATGAGTTAGGAGGAGCAACATTTGCCAGAACCATGGAATTATTAGATGATGATAATGTTATTAGAGAATATCCAACAACACTTGTAAAACAATTTGATTGTGAACGACATTATGAATTTGGTGATGTTGATATACGCGCTATATTTAATGGAGGGAATGTTACTTCTTTATGGTTTGAAGGAGATCCACAAATTACAAAAGATCAAAAAGATTTTAGAATAATAGTTTTAAAAGAATTTATTAAAGCGTTGGGTGTACAAACAAGTTTAATAGAACAACCAATTTTTTTAAACGTAACTCCAAAAGTTTTAACACCACAATTAACTTTAACAGATAATGGTGGTGGTTTAGAATTTATGGGATTTAAAGAATACGCTTTTGATAAATATTTGGTATTTCGTGGTAAACAAGTTCAACCGGTTAATGAAAATATTAAATCACTTAATGATTTTGCTAAAGTACCAGATAATAAATTTAATGATCAACAAGAATTTGTAACAAAATTCGTTCAATCACAACAAATCGGTGTAGCTCAAAATATGGCGAATCTTTCTGTTACTCAATTTACTTTAGGTTTTCAGCCAAGAGGATCAAAATCCGATGATGATATTATTATTCTAGAAACTCTTTTAAACCCTTACCAAAATGGTGTTAATATTAATAATTTTGATGCTAGCGTATATGCTGCAACAGATGACTTTTTGATGATTTCACCTATCACAAGTGGCAAAACTCTTGAAGATTCTATGGGGAAATTTCCAAGTCCACTTGGTCCTAAATTAATCTCCTTGTTGGAAACTTTAGGGTAAGTTAATATTTATCAAAACTCTTGCACGACAAACATTAAATAAATTAAATAAACTTATTTTTTTTTTTTTTTTGTAATAAAAAAAAAATTAGATATCCTACCAAACGATTGCCAAATAATAATTTCAAAGTTTGTAACATTCCTTCGCCTCCTTCATCACCTTCTCCATCAAAGACTGTAACGACTGCCGTAACGACTTCTGTTACGACTCAAATTACAACAACAGTTCCTGTGGTTGTTACAACGACAATTCAACAAGATAATACTAGTGTTGTTTCAACTCAAACTCAAAATGTTGTAACAAAAGTTGAGTCCGTGTCTCAAAGTGTTGTTACAACAGTCGTAGTTGTAGACGCTCCACAGTCACAGCCAATTCCTTCCCCGACAAATTCCGATGACCCTTTTCAAGGAGGAATTTATTCTAGTGGCTCTTCATATAAAAATCAAAATAATTTTAGTTCAATAATATTTATTATTCTAATTGTATGTATAATAGGAAGTTTTCAAAGTATTATATAGATCGATCATTTTATTAGATATTCATTTTACATTCTACTTACTTAATATGTATTAATTTTTAAAAAGATATTTAATTTTGGTAATTTTTAATCCGGAGATTGAATTTCAAAACCTTAGAAAATTCTTATAAAAATAAAGATGCAAATGTATTATAATACGTAACATGTGGCGGGACAATAATTTTTTAAAATTTCCTATTTTAATTCGTCACAATTATAAACAAAATTACAAAAAAATTACTGAATAAAGAAATATAATGAATTTACGCTAAACCACAACTATTCATGTCTTGTCTCCAAAAAAAGGTAGTTAAAAATTCATTCATTATGATATTTCTATAATAGATTGTATCATCAAAGATTTCAACTTCGAAATTCTATGAAAAGAATTTTTCGTATTTATGACATTAATTGACTTTTCATGTGATAAAATTCAAGTATAAAAACTCGAGAAAAAAATTCTCTTGAAATTTTAATTTTGCTTTTTGAATTTTGAAATAATTTAAAGTATCTATTATTCAAAATGAACAAAATTATTGGTATCACCCTTTTTCTTTTCTTCATTTTTTCATCTTATATCTCGGCAGTTCCAAATCCTATGATAAAACGTCAGGGGGACGGTAGCGATCCATTAAGTGGTTTCAAACCTTGTAATGGAACTACTTATCCAATTACTTTTACGAAGTTCAGTTTCGACCCAAATCCGATCGTAATAGGACAGACCTTAACTACGACAGTGGCCGGTACAAGCAATGAAGAAATAAAAGAAGGCGCAATTCAAACAACATCAGCATTTTCTAACGGACAATTAGTATTTAACCAACAAACTGATTATTGTAAAGTGTCAGTTGAACCAACCGGAGCAAAATGTCCACTTCCACCTGGAGATTTTGATGCTTCTATAACATCCGTTCCCGCGGCTAGTTCCAATGATCCTTCAGGCACTACTTTATCATTTGATGTTGTATTTAAAAGTAAGAATAACTTATAAATTTATATTTATTCGATTTAAGATAAATGAATTGATTTTAATATATATATATATATTTTTCTTTAGTTATTAATCCTGATAATACCGAATTGACATGCATGGAAGGACCATTTAGTATTACTTTCCCTCCAAAATAATTGACGATATGATGTAATTTATAAACATTTTATTATCCGATATTTATAGAATAATTATCCGATGATCTAATATTATAAATATATATTATACACACAATTAATTTCTTTTTTTTCACTTTATTATTGTTATGAAATATGAGTAGCAAATTATTTTATGACAATGAAATTATTTTTAGTATTATAATTATTTTTAAATAAAGTTGTCTTCTAAAACTTATACATTTGTTATCTGATATACCCCATATTTGAAAATTTCTTGGCGGATAGTAAGATATTCTCGAAAAAAAAAAAAAAAAAAAATATAAATATTTCCGACTGAAAATTTTCTTGGCACATAAAGAACGAAACAATCCAATCTATATATAGTTTAAATGTGATACAATAAACAATACAGTTAAGGGATATTAGAAACACGTATTAAAGTTTTGATTTTTAATATATGGGTTTTCAGGATGCATAATAATATATCTTGGCATACTTTTTACCACGTGATATGAAACAAATAATTTCTTTTTTCTCTGAATTTCTTAAATTGATTAATTAATTTAACAAAAAAATCATAAAAGGGCAAGGCCCTCTCGTTGTTAATAATATTTTTATAAACAAAGTTTGTTGAAACGTATCCACATATAGATTACAAGGGTAAATTAAAACTGCGGAATTTATTAGTATTACCAAAAAAGGATAAAAATAAATTAAAAAATTAATCACAAATCGAATTGTACTCGGTAAAACTCGTTTAGTGGAACAATACTGAAACATTTTTTTTTTTGAAAAAATAAATAAATAGATATTGATCCTAGTGTAGATATAATTTTTCTTTTTAATCACTTTTTATTTATTTATATATTTTTTTTTTTTTTTTCTTTATCTTTTATAAGATCGATTATATATATAAATAAATATATAAATACATATTCTTTTTTGTCAAAAATTTTTTTTTGGCAAATAACTCTCGTTTTTCTATTATTATAATTTCCTTGACGGAAATCATATATTAATAACAGAACTTCTGGTAAGCTCTGTTTCCCCTTTCCCATCCCTCCTCCTTTTAATTTTTTATATCATTTTAATACCACTTAAAGCATAAAACACCAGAACAAAGCAGCAACAAAATAAAAATCATGAAACCATCATCATTTTCATTTATTCTTTCACTCTTGCTATTTATTAGCATCGAATCTATGATTCAAGTAAATGCTATGTGTTGGGAACATAGCAATCCACTTAAACCATGGGAGAAAACGAAGTCAACATTTTGTGGTACGCAAGATAAGCCAAAAAACAAATTAACAATCGATAAAGGAAATTCGCTAGCTTCCTTTTTAGCACCAGCTGATGCATTTCAATTTGTTTTCTCTTGTGGAGTTCCAGATCAAGTTTTATGTAGTAAAGCAGAAAATTCATTTAAAGAAGCAGGATTAATTATAGCAAATTTAGTTAATTTCACTACACCTTTAAGAGTTAATGCTACTTTTACAGATTTTTGTCGAGACCTTGGTGAATGTGATGGTAAAATTCTTGGAGCAGCAAGTGCAGCGAGAACAATTCCTTTACAAGATGATGATAATAAAATTAGACAATATCCACAAGCATTAGCAAAACAATTTTTATTACAACCAGAACCTCAATGGGGACCTTTTGATATTCAAGCTTTTTTTAACGCTGAAGCTGATTTGTTTTTTGATGGTGATAATACACCAATTACACCTACTCAATTTGATTTTCGTTATATTATTTTACATGAACTTATTCATGGTCTTGGTTTTGCTTCCGGTTGGAATAGTTATTTCAGTAGTGATAATGGTAATAATGCTGTTGCTTTGACTCCTGATCCAGGTTTTCTCGAGCAATTAACAGGTTTAAATGATCCTGTGACTTTTACTGGATTTGAAGAAACTGCATTTGATAAATATATGGTAAATGCAAAAATAAAAACTCAATCTCCGAAAAGAATGACTGATTATGCGGATAAAATAAATAGTTTTGCTAAAATTGGTACTAAATTCCCAAGTGTACAGGCTTTATTAACATCATTTCAAAGATCTCAATCATTTTTAACTTCTAATGATTTAATCATTGATAGTCAAACTCCAAAAACTTTTGCTTTTCAACCTAAAAGTGCTAAAACCACAGATGATTTAATTTTTTTGGAAACGAATATAAATCCTTTCCAACAAGGATCATCTATTTCTCACGTAGATATTGTATCTTTTAATAATAATAGTGATTTCTTGGAAGTTTTTAATGCTAAACGTGGTCAAAACTTGGATCAAATTCTTGCTAGTGTTGGTGGAACTTACCCTATTGGTCCAAAATTACAATCCGTTTTAGAAACTTTAGGGTATACTACGGCAAACAATCCAAATCCATATAAACCAAGTTTACCTAATAGTCCAAAATTGAATGCTGCTCCCCCACCTCCATTACCTGTCGCTAATCAAAGTGGTAAAAATAAAATGTCAACTTCCACCGCTACATCTTTAAAATTTAGATTTAATATTTTACCTGTATTTATAATTGTAGTCGTTGTTTTATTATTATAGATTTTTTGGGGGCGTGTAAAATTTAATATGTTAATTTAAAGTGTGGAAAAAAAAAAATTATAAATAAATAAAAAAAAAAATGTGTTTAATTTACAGAATAAATTATTTTTGATTAGATTATATTTATTATTATTTATTTATTTATTTTTAAAAAAGAGATACATTTGTATATATTATGTAATAAAAAAAATTAATTCTTATTTGAAAATAATTAAACGACAACAGCAGGGTTTGAACCTGCGCTCCCATAGGGAATCAGATTTCAAGTCTGACGCCTTAACCACTCGGCCATGTTGTCTAATAAACCTGATTATTTATCAAAGTAAAATTATTTAAATAATAAATTTTATTTTTAATAAAAATTTCCCGAAATTAATTTGATAACATGGGCATTATCTTTTATCAATATTCGACATCAATTTTGTTTCCCTATCTACAATAAAGTCATTTTTATGATAAGGGAAAAATGTTCTTATTTTTATTTAATTAATCTATTTATTAAGTGACTCTAACTTTGATGTCTCGATCATTCAATAGCTTTTCATCTATTTAAAAATAAATTATTATTGATTATTTTAGAATTTAAATTACATGTTATATTAATCAATGTACATACAATATTATATATATTATAAAAAGACAATTCTCATGTTATTAACATTTTTTTTTTTATGAAAAAAAAAAAAAAAAATTTCTGGAATACAATAGGTAACTATCATGTAAATGATAGATATATTACTTTGAAGAAAGAAATAAATAGACTAACTCTAGCAAGAAAATATTTATAAATTAACGAATTCATATTCCTTCGTTATCGATTAAATGTGTTTCCCATCTCCTCCCATTTTTCCACCATTTCACCATTTATCATTCTTGTTTTTCTTCTTCTTGTTGTTGTTGTTGTTGATCATCTCTCTCCATTTCCATATACTCTTGTTGCATAAAATGATGTTGTTGACCAAGTGTAGGATAACCAACACTTATTTCAACTGTTGAAGGAGTAGATGTTCCATACATAGTTTGAGAACGTTGAGGAGGACGATGTGTACCCGCAGCCGGAGTAAATAAATCTTCATGTTCTTCTTTTTCATCTTCTGGTCCAATTATATCATCATCATGTTGAAATTTTTTAGAACTTCTTTCTCTTTCCCTTTCCCTTGAATCTCTCTTACTTTTTCTAAGTGAAGTGCGAGATCCACTTAATTGTAGAGGTTTTAAGCCACGAGATGATTCAGCTAATCTTTTACGACGATTGCAAAAAAATAACGCAACAACTAAACAACAAACAACTACAATAGCAACTACAACTACAATTGCTATAGCTAATGGTGAACTTAATTTATTAGCTGTTGTTTTTTCACTAGAATTTGTTGTATCTAAATTACTCAGTGTGGAATTTAGAAATAATGGTGGTACTGGTTCTCCAGACCAGTCACACTTTTCACTTATACATTTTCCATTTGAAATACAATCACTATCAATTGTACAATAAAATGTACATTTATTATCTAAACATATTTGACCAGCGATTGAATAATTACAATCTTGGTTTGCTTGACAAGCTTGATCTGCATTAACGGGGGAAGGTTCAGTCATGGAAGCGAAGAATTTTTGTTTTATAAAACAACATTTAATTATCCAAAACTACTTCTCTAAATGAAAGAATAAAGATCGTCTATTTTTTTTTCTTATCGGAGAAATTTGTTTTTTTTTAAAAAAAAAAAATTTAAATAGAAAGACAAATTTAACTAAGTTCAAAATCTTTTAAAAATTTTNTTTTTTTTTTTTTTTTTTTTTTTTTTTTTCCTTTGTCTGTTATTTTTACTTAATAAGCCCCATGGTTCTTCCGGAAGATCAGGTGCATGATGGGCTTAGATACTTGAGTAAAATATCATTATTTTCCGTAAGTCAAAAAAACGAATTTAGTATTACTTCGTTTTATATAAAGATAAATAAATAAACAAATAAATGTGGCTGTGAAGTTTAAACAGCCACAATGAAGCAATGCCGGAATTATCTTTATTTGGAGATATTTTAAGCCTTACGTGATCATAAATACGTGATCATATATACGTAAATCATTCACATTTTTCCGAATTTTTAAAGCCGCAAACCGAAATTTCAAATCAAAATCCTTGTGTAACTTGTAATCTTTGCCTTAAAACCTTGACTAACCTATATATAGTATGTATAAATATAGGAAGATTAAAAAATTAATTCACGTAGTTAGGTCAAGTTTTCATCTATTTTGTTTTTCTGGTTTTTTTTTCTGGTTTTTTTTTCCTAGCTGGATTTGGTAAATTTTTGAATTGAACGTAAATTGAAATTGCGTAATCTTAAAATTTAAGGTTATCAATATATAGGTTACACCGCATTGAAAATGTTTAATCATTAAAAGAAATATCATTATTTACAAAATAAAATACATAACTCATATAGAAATGTAATAAAGCAAATAAAATTATCAATGAACAATAAACACGAATAAAACAAAATAATTATTATGCTATTATTTATAATAAAAAAAAACCAAATCAAGAAAAAGGTTATTCGCAAAAAAAAATCTCCCTGCCGTCTTTAATATTGTCAATACTCGAATCTCATACAACCAATAAAAAAAAAAAAAAAAGAACTCAGGATTCAGGATTCAGTAATAAGATTTAAATTAATATCATTAAATAAATGATGACGTAAACTTACGATTAAGTAAATAATTAGAGAAATACCACATTATAGGAACTAATGGTACAATAAAATACCAAATTTGAGTCAATTCAAATACGCTATTTAATTTCATTGGTACAGTTCTTGGCGATTCATATCCTGTAAATCGTCCTTTTGTGTAAAATTCTTCCATCAACGCATCCTTCTCTATCCATCTTTGTCTTAGCCATTCTGTAAATTTATCCTCATCTTCGGGCATTTCTGAAATTGCATATTTTCGAATATGTAAATGTATATTACGTGGATATTGTCCTTCAAAATAAATTTTTCTTAATGTATATATTTCTTCTGGAAATTGTCCTCTCCTCACTCCTTCTATCCCTATAGTTAAATCATATACATAATCAACGGATTTATGTAATGATCCAGCACAAAAATGCAATCCTGTTGATCGTGGCAATAATACATGTTCATGATCCACCTAAAAAAGATGATCGAGAATAATTTAATCTAAATATATATATATATACATTAAATTTATATTATCGACATACATACCAATCCAACTTTATCTGCATATTTTTTTGACGTTATACGCGTCACATCAGATACTACTGTTCCCTCTGGAAATATAAGCAACCATAAAGGTTCTTTGGAAGTAGCTAGAGTCGATAATGTCTTTGAAAACGGGCCTTTATCAGTTGCCCAATTTCGTTTCAAAAAAATGTATTGGAAAAATTGCATACCCTAATTAAATAAGATATTATATTCGGTTCCGGTTTAGAAAATATAAACATATATATATTAAAATTTTTGTGTATATTATTGTATACAACATATCATAAATAAATATTCAAAGAATATCAAATTAGTCAAAATTCTTACCCTATAAGTAATAAAAAAATGAATTAGTAATTGGATATACAATCAATAATGCCAAAAGAACTGACAAAAACTTACCATCCAAATATCGGTAACCATTTTAGGGAATCTTTTAATATAATCTTAATTGCACCATGAGCATTAGCTAAATACGTAAAGCACCTAATATAGTAAAAATTGATAAAACACGCGCTTTGGGTCGAACCTTATGATAAATCAGTCGTTAATTCAACTGTATTGTGAGAAATAAGCTTACCACACGTATAACCAATCAGCGTATATCTATAAATGAGTTTATTAGTCTCAATTTAAATGACCACCTTGTATATTACTAATAGTATTTCTTACTTGATGATTTGCTATTAATATAAGTCTTTCGGGCATATCCAGTTCTACTTTAGCTCCGTTCCAACTTTGCTTTAAAACACCTTTGGCAGATTTATCTACTGTGATAACAAAGTTGCTAGGAGCAAAGAACTGATTGATGGCAACCAATAAAATACCAAAACATCTTTGGGTATGTTTAATATAGCTTTGATAATAGGAATGCGAGAATGGCCAAAGCAAAAGACTAAGAAATTGAGAAAAGTTGAGCGCAGCTGACTGGCCAGCTAGAAAAAACGCGATTTGTATTATATTCAGACTCAGGAGTAAGATAACGATGGTAGACTAAAACATAACGAGTAAGAGAAAGATTTTGATACTTACCAAAGAACACAACGAAAACAGCTGTGCGCACGAGCCACTGTACAAGATTTTGCGACTGCGGTTCCCCTAAAGCAGGCATTTTTATAATCTCCAAAACAATAAGACGACCGTTAAACAAAAACAAGGTAAAAAAATCTTTAGGGGAATAGAAAAAGAAAATTCTACTCTTACATAGGGCAAATACTGTGAAAAAAAGGAGGATGCATTATTTATATTTATAGTCATCAATTTTTTTAAGGTTTCTTAACAATAATAAGAGTGACACTTGTTAAACTCATGACCCCGTGAGGACGCATGGACGCAGGTCATGCGGATTGTTTACGTTATATAGAAAATTGGCACTTCACTGTCACACTTTAATCCTAAATAAACCTGCAAATATATCAACAAATGATGATTATACACGATTTACACTTTCATTTTTGCACCCGATTCCCATAGCCATTTGAGGCTGTATTTGGTGTATCTATGGTCCATTTTGCTGCGGTTTACATAAAATTTTATAGGTTTAACTCTGATATGGTATTACCAAATGTACGTTGACGGGAGATACCAAAATTAACCCTCTGGACATTATGAATGATGGAATGAATTATCCAGTAAAAGATTTTTTTTATTCATGACTCATTAGTTTTATATACATAAAAAATAATAAAAAAGCATAGAAACCTGGAATATAGCAAGATTTGATTTTGATTTTAACTTAACCAAGTTAAAACATTCGGTATGAATATAATTAGAAAATCATTACTAATTTAGAAATTATATAAAGTATTAAGTTTATTACGCCCCATCATATTCTTCCGAAGAATGTATAAATAAGTGATCATCTTTTCTTTTTTTTTCCTTTTTTTGTTTTGATTTATTATCTAAAATGAACATTCATTTACTGCTAATAATATTAATAACGTTCTTACTAATTTTTATAAATGATGTTTCCTCCGATCATGCATTATGTTGGGATTTGATTCCAGAACCGAATAATTTGTCACGTAAAATTCAGAGACCATGTCCAATGGTTAAAAATAGGAAAAGAGCAGCATCAACAGCAGCACCGGCAAATAATTCGGATATGTTTACCGTATCATTTACTTGTTCGGTTGAAAATGAAAACCCAGAATTATGTCGAAAAGTTAAGAATGCGTTTTATACAGCTGGACAAATTATTTCTTCCAGCATAAAACTTAATACACCATTGATAGTTAATGCTTCATTGGTAAATTTTTGTACAACAAGAGGTATATGCCTAGATGGACCAACTGGTCGTTTAACTTTAGGTGGTGCTGGACCTTCAAGACTTATTCCTATTGAAAAAGATCAACGAGTATATCCTCAATCCATCTTAAAACAATTAAACAAAGAAAATCACCCAGAATATTCTCCATATGATATTAATGCTCTATTTAATAGTGAAGGAAATTATTGGTTTGAAGAAGATGGTCCAATAAAGCTAAATCAATCTGATTTTTTATTTGTAATTTTACATGAATTAATTCATGGATTAGGGTTTTGCAGTGGTTGGGATGATCATAGTGATATGTTAGGCATACAGAATATAATAACTCCAACACCTCTTTTTTTAACAACCATTACAGGACAGGTCATTTTTGGTGGATTTAGAGAGTTCATATTTGATAAATTTATGGTATTATTATCTGATGGCACTCGCATTTCCAATCTTACTGAGGAGTTGAATAAATTCTCTGGTGTTGGAACTACTCATAATTCAATGGATGATTTTTTAAATTACTTTATGAATACTTTTCCTTCATCTCCTGAATACCAAATTGTTCAAAAAATGATGAATATATCTACTACACCTAAATCTCTGGGGATTTTACCATTAAATAAAACTGATATTAAAGATGCTTTTATTTTAGAAACTTCACTTTCACCTTTTTTGCCCAAGTCAAGTATCAGCCATTGTGATTATATAACTTATACCAAATCTTCTGATTTCTTAATGAGATATTTACAAGATCCTGGTATTTCTTTAAAAAGATCTATTCGTTTAGGTGGAAATTATGTAAATGGTCCTATTGGGCCTAAACTAGCTGAAACATTATCTTTAATAGGGTAAGTATTTGTTTAAATTATTATAAAAGAATATTTAATGTTTTTTAAAAATAAATATTTTTTTTTTAGATATCAAATTCAAAATTTACCAAATACATTTAAACCAAATCCTAATGAAATAGTAGTAGATGATGAAATTAATATTGCATCATCTTTAAAAGCTTTTAACTTAAATTATTTAATTATAAAATTTTTATTTTTTTATTATATAATGATGGACTTTTAATTATTATAATATTTTTAATTTTAAATTAAAAATATTTATATACTATTTTATTATTAATTTATATCATCTGCAAAGGATCTGCAAAAAAAGGGAAATTTGATAGTCAAATAAAAGTAAAATATTATGTAAAAAAGTTATATAATGAAAATATATAGTGAATTGAATAAATAAATTTAAATTCACGAAATTTTTAATTTTTTATTATTTTTATCTTAACAAATACACTAATTACATTACAGTTTAATTAGTCCTATTTTTTTACAGTTTTTTTGATATATCAAGAGAAGTATCTTAATTACATTTATTTGCCACTTTAAATGATTTTGAGTTGTAATACTTTTTAATAAGTTTGTTATACATATGTTTAGATTTACTATATGAATTTAATCATAAAAGATTTGTAATTAAAAAATAATAGTAAAATAATAATTTACTAACTCTAAATTTCAATAAGTTTTCTACAATTTTTTCTAAAAAAAATAATTGCATTAGTGTATTATGTTAACTATATTGCTTTTAGAAGCTTTTTTGATCTTTAATCAATCTAACATGATCTTTATTAATTGCATTACTATTAACTTTTCAACTAGTATTGCGATCTGTTGATCCATCAATCTGTCAATCTGTGGATTTATCCAATTCAAAATTCATTCAAGTCATCTGTTAAAATTTTAGACAGATCACGAATAGATCTGAATAGAAAAAACGGATTATCCAGATAATCTGTATAAACTATCAATTATAATTCTGATCAGAATTACGGTAAAAATTTCCTTTTTTAATGATCATTATTACACAATATTCCATGTTTAGTAATGCTTAAAAATAGAAAACAAATTTTTGTGAAATGGGTATTGCCAAAAAAGGAAACCAGTAGTTATGCAAAGACTAAATATGGTAATTTTAATATTCTGGCCGAAATTATGAAAAAAAATGCTAAAGAAAATATTCATTTGTACATTTGAATATATTCGGCGAATATTTGAATAGATAATGGATAAATTCGCAGATCTATTACGAATATTCAAATCATTTTGAATCAAATTGACAGATCATAAATTCATCCAAATCGCAACACTATTTTCAATTACTTACCTTTTTTTAAACTGTTCATTTTTAAAAGTAAGTTGTTTTTTCCAAATTATTTGTCTTGCATTACTCATAAAAATTATAGCTTTGGTTAACAGATTCTACAAATCTGATTATCCTTTTTTCCTGCTAAAACTTCTTCTTTAATTTCTGTTTCTTTTTCTTTGTAACTATTAAATAGTTGAATATCATAAGAAAATCTATCTATTAAAAATTCTGGATTGTGATTTTTATGAATTCTAAATAAAACATCAAGTTTATCAAACTATTTGCATCTCTTTCTATTTAATTTTTCTTTTCTTTAATTTCATTATACTTAGTCATAAGACAAGATAATTTATTTTTAATTTATTCTCATAGCTTTTCTGAAAAATCTTAGTAGCAGCTATTTTTGCAAAATTTTTTGCAAATATTAGAATTATCTTCAAGAAAACTTAACAATAATCTGGTATTTATATTATCACAACCTGTTTCTTCTTTAACAGAACTTGCTTCTTTTGCTTTTTAGCTATTATTCTTTTTAAAAACTTTTGTAGTAATTATAGTTGTTGAATTATTAGTAGTAGATGCTATTATTTCTTAAATTTCTAATAAAATAAATGTTATTACAACTATAATATCAGGGTCCTATACAAATATTTGTGATTTAGAAATAAGGTAAAAAGTAAATTTTAGTATAAGTTAAGGTTGCTTGTCTAAATCTCTTCAAAATCCTACGATTAGTTTCGTCAAAATTTTACTATAGATTTATTATAATTTTGGCAGAGTTTTAGCTGTTTTGGCATTTATAATAAGTTTCGGCAGTTTCGCAGGACCCCGGATATCTAATATAAAGGTCATAATGGACTTTTGGCCAAAAACACTCCTTTTTGCTGAAACTCAAAAAATCGTTTTTTGTAAATATCTCAGCATCCAGTAATTCAATTTTAATGAACTTTTTTTTATTTTGTAGCCCTCATTTAGCTCTACAATTTAAAAAAAGTTCATCAAAATTGGACCACTGGATGCCGAGATATTTACAAAAAACGATTTTTTGAGCCCCTGAAAAATGGGCCAATCTGCCGAAAGTGTGACTTATGACCTGTTTTGGAGATATCCGGGGTCCTAAATAATTACTAAAGTACTAAATAATGAAAATTTAACTCCATGCGTTGTAATTGATATGTTAGATGGTAAAATTCAGCGGTGCAATTCTAAAAAAAAATTGAGACGACTTTGGCAAATGATTGGAACTTGGCAAATTGACGATGAAGAAGTTAAAGCAAAAAATTTTTTAATTGAAGATTTAGGTATTTGTTATTCGCATTTTTTATATGATCAAAATCAATTGCATTCATCAAATTTAAAACAAACTAAAGATTATATGGAAAGTATTATTCATAGACGCAGATGTTTATTTTGTAATAAAAATAAAATTTTTTTTAGTCATGGTTCTAATTGTGAAAAACACTTATATAAAGTTATAGGTAAAAATATTCAGGTACCTTGTATAGAGCAAATGAAATGTGGTGCATTGCAAATATACCATTCTTTTATTTGTAATTCCAACAAATTCAAGTAAACATGCACGATATATATGTATGAATTGTTATGAAGAAAAGGATGGGCATATTTATCAATGTGTTGGATAAGGTATAAAAAAAGATCCAAATTGTGATAACCTGTTACATCATAAAAATGATACCAAAAAGGCATTAGAAGTAATTGGATATTGGATTTTTAATATTGCTAATTCTGATAATTTAGCATTTCAAGAAAAAATTTTAGCACATTTAGCTCCTATTTTATGTATTATTAATATTCAAGAAAAATCTGAAACTACATCATCAATGCTACTATCAGTACAAAATATAAAAAATGAAGTACCTTCTTTATTTATAATTCTTATTATTCTTATTTTAGTTAAATTTAATTACAATTTTGATAAAAAATTAAATTCTAAGAATCTTACATCAAAACATTTTTTCGAATTTGGAGAAGCATTAGCACATTCAATAATACTCGTGAAAAATGAATTAAAAATTCACAAAAAATTACTTGAATCACCTACTTCTATAAAAGAATATCGTTTTATATTTCCTTTATATTTAGTACAATTTTATGATGGTCTTTTAAAAACTTTATATGAAACAAAAAAAAAAATTATAGATAGACAAAGAAAATATCGTAAAAAACCATTAAAATTTTTAAATTATGAAAAAATTACTAAACAAACCACATTTTTTATTTCAATAATTTTAAACATTGCATTTAAAGGATGGAAAATTTGGTTACCTTGAACAATGGCAAGTCTTTGCCGAAAACTAAAACTTTTGTCATCATTGCAGGGAATTTTAGAAGTTGTAAATATTACAAGCCACTTTCAAAGACATAAACAAAATTTGGAAAAAATTCGTGCTCTCTTAGTAGATCCAACTGATCGAATTTGCTATGAAAAGAATATTTGGAATCTTGGTATTATTGATAATGTGGATTTTAAAGAAACTACATTTGGTTATGGAAACATTTTTGACGCTATTAGAGAAAATGCTACATTACGGATACTCTTTCAATACCAACTACCTAATGAATTATCTGAAATTATTGAAATACAAGACAAAAATAAGCAAAAACTTTTTGGGCAAAATAATTTTTCACAACAAACATTCAATATTTTTAATTCAGTTTTTGAACAATTACTTACGTTTAATGAAAATCTCACTCCTAATTATCGTTCAGATTTTAATGAAAATGATATACGTAATCAAATTATGACACATTTTGAAGGAAGTTTTAATCTTCCGCCTCCCAATGTTATAATTCTTGATGCTGAAAATCCACCATCAAGTGATTCCGCCGTGCATAAATATCTAGAAATGTATAAAAATGAAATTGGTATGGAAAATAATGAATATATTAATGTAGTTGCAGATGAAGCTATTTTTAGACGAGGTATTAGTTATTGTAAAACAAATCAAAAAACAAAAATGATCCTTGGACAATGGCATACCAATAAGGATATGATGATGGCATTAATTACAATTTTTTCTGGTTACGGAATATTCAATATGGCAGGAATATTAGGTATACGATTTCTAGATAAATTAGAGAAAGGTGTAGATTTCAGAGCAACTTCAAGAGTATTGGAATTGATTTGGATTTCCGTAGGAATAGCAATTCATATATATGTAAAAAAGAAAAAACAGACATTAGATAATATTTTAAAAGAAGAAAATAATTGTGTAAAAGTTTGGTATTTATATTTTCAATGGGCTAGTTATTGGCGTGCACATTGGTTTGGTATTAGATGGGAATATTTGATTTACAACATGAAAGTTTAAAAGCTTTTTCACCTTTATTTTCCATTGCCGGTAAATCAAATTATGCTAGATCTGTAAGACTGTAACATATCATATATATTGCATAGAAAATAATCCTCTACTTCGTAAAATGCTTCGTACAGCACCATCCATTAATTTAACAAGTCCTGGACATTTTTTTGCATATGACGAAGCATTAGAAACATTTGGAGTAAAATTTGTAAAACAAAATGTAATAAGAATTCCTGCAGATAGGGAAGAGTTGAAATTAAGAATAAAAGCTACTCAACTAGAAAAGGAACGAACAGAAATGCTGATTTGTGATTACATTGGAGATTCTGTTCAAAGTTTCTGACCACGTAATGTTCAAACTCAAAAGGAAAAGATTTGGGAGCTTGCACACTTATTGATAAATGCTTTTGAATCTTTAAATCCTCTTAAAAATTCAGTATTTGAATTCTGTAACAATTTAAATGATGATAGAGTTAACCAATTAATTATTGCGTATGATATTGGAATTAAGAGATTACAAACAATAGCAAATCAAGAAATTTTTTTAACAGAAAGTTATACAACTATTGGAAGAAGAGCAAGAAATATCACACGGGTTACAGTTGCTGATATTACTAAAATGAAAAAAGAAAAAAAATAGAAATAAGAGAAGAAAAAGAAAAAGAAAAAAGGAGAGGAGGGAGAGGGAGAGGAAGGGGGAAAGGGAGAGGGAGAGGTAGGGGGAGGGGAAGAGGGAGGGGAAGGGGAAGGGGGAAAGAAGAAGAAACATGACTATGATGTAATTTTGACCATTTCAACTTTAATTTCGACTTTTGACCTTCCCAAGTCGAAATATTTCTACTTTTGGGCTTTAATTTCAACTTCATGTATACCAGTGATCATCACCTCCAGTGATAGTTAGAAAAATTCGTAATAATAATTGTAATAATTGTAATAATAATAATAATAGTAATATAATATAATAAATAATAGGCAATTTCTATTTGTATACAGTATGTTTAAACATGGGTCATATTAGTAGATTAAAAACAGCATTCAAAACCTTTTTTAATGCCTTAAATAAACTTGCAGAGCAGGTGAAAATACATATATTTATCTGTAATATAATAAGAATAAAAAGTCAAAAAGTATAATGTTGGTAGCATTCAATTTCAAATTAAAAAACAAAAAATTAGTCTATTAAAAATTATATTTATATGATCCATGTACAAACACCCCGTGTAAACTTAGAAATTTTTTAAATAATAATATGATAATAATAATGGATTTAATATGTAATTATCAATTAAATATTTTATTTATATATTTGACAAAAATATCTTTAAAATATGTAATAATATATTATTTATGGAAAATATTAATAAAAGTTTCTTTTATCTTATCCAGTTATTTTTAGTATTTTGTCATTATTCCTTAACATATAATTATCATTTTTATTTTCATTTTATTGCATAATATGTAAATAATACTCCTATTTTAACTATTTAATATCAAGATCTTTTAACATTCTAAATCTTGCTTTTAATTTTTTAAAAGCATTTTTTATTACAACTCAATAATATGAATGAAATTGTATTTTTGAAAAGATAGATTTTTAAAAGGTAGAATTAAGAATAAAATAAGATAAAGAATTCTAAAAGCTTAGGCATTATATATTTGAGCTTTATAGATTTAAAATTACTTAATTTTAGAGAAGTTTTCTTACAGAAATAATCTTTATATAATTTGTGTAAATGAGAGTGATATAAATAAATGAAAATTCTGTAGATATAAAAGAGTATAGGGGTAAGAATTTCATAGTTAGCAATAGTAATAAAAATAAATTAGGTGTAAAGTTTATAAAAAGCAAAAAAAATAAATTGATGCTAAGACTCACATTATTAAATGGTTTAAGATTTGACTGATTTGTGTACTTCCTTCTTTTTTTGATAGTATTTATATATATTTTCACTTACTACCTTTAGCATTTTCTGATTCTTTAAAAATCATTAATAAAGTTTCGTTTACTTTGGGCATTTGAATCAAAATTTTAAAATAATTAGTAGAATTATGTGACTTTGAACTTCTGAATCAGCCTAAGCATCATTTTATTTTTTAATTATATGTGTATAACATCAAAAAAAAAATGCTGATTGAACTATCTCAGAAAAATTATGTGATAATTTTGTTAATTATTTTCTAAAATAATATCACTAAAAATATCCTTTTTCTAAGTAAAACTTGAAGATATAAATTTATACATATTTTAAATTATATATTATCCGTAATTTTACATGCTTTACAAGTTTATTTACTTAGGGTAATCTTTGATTTTTTATATATATTTTTTCAAAATGATGAATTTTGCAAAAATGGCATTTAAAACCCTCTTTGATATTTTAAGTAAACTTGATCAGAAGGCAAAAATACATATATTTTGCAAATTTTAGGGCCATATAATGTGTGTGTTAAGTTTTATTTGAAACATAAAAAAATATTTTTTTATCGCCAAAATTAATCAGCTATTTTAGGAAATGATCAGCAAATTGTCACGTGATAGAAGAATTGGTATAATCACGTGGTTTTATTTGATCTTAAATTTACTCGCACCTCGTTAACTTAATCAAATTAAAAGTTCACAAGTATTTCGATCGAAAATATCCGAATGGGACATTGTAGCTGGATTTCGAAAAGGAACCGTTCGAGAGTAAGGTAGATGAGTAGGTCAAAAGTCTCGAGGCAATTATTAAATTGTAAGCGAGGCTTTGAATAAGGAAAAGCGAGAATACTTCTTAATAAATACAGGGAGGCGAGTAAGATTGAATGGTAGGTGTGACGAAAGGACCCCTTGGTCCAAAGACCAGTGTTGAGGCACAGAAAACCTCTTAGGTTCAAGGTTCTTTGCCGACTTAATGGAATGAAAATAAGAAATTCCAATAAAAAAATTGTTATAGTTTTGTTAATTTTTTAAATATTTATTTATAGAAGTCTCGACCAGATCGCCAACGGGCAAAAAAAAAGGATACCGATCGCACACATAGGCAGTTACATCTTCACCAATCAACACTTTTAGATGGTATTGTTCATGGGAACATAAATAACGGTGGAAGCGGAACTTTTATTCTTAATGTAAGGATTAAACTAGATGATTAGTATTTTCTGTATTTTAAAAATTGAATCTTGAATAGAATCGAGTGCCAGCGGAAGACGATGAAATTTCCGATATCCTTATTCCAACGCATCTTACTTCCCTCAACGTGACCCAGAAACTGATGTTTTTGAAGATTCGGAAACAAGTAATTTGGATATACCAGATCATGAGGTAAATTATATCTTTAAATCTGGCAGGTCTTGTTAGCTGTAATGTTTACTATTCTCACCACATTTACTCCAATTGATGTTCAAGACCAAGAAGAGGTGAAGAATGCGACCAGTGGTGAAGAGGCGAAGAAAGTGACCAAAGTGGCAAAGGAAAACAAAGTAAATCTTCATTGGTAATTTTTAAACATTTTTTTTTACGAATAACAAAATTTATGCTTTTCCTGTCTAGGTTAGACTAAGCAAGGAAAATCGAGAGGAAATCTTTAAGTCAATGGGTGAGCAATGCATGTGGAAACTTTCGACTGGAAGATTCGTCGAAAAAGAACTATATAGACTAGGGCAAGAACTGGAATTCGAGCGGTTAGTATTCATGCATGAGATTATATTCGTGTAGGAATAAGTTTATTAAATTGTGGTCTTATTCCTTTTCTTAGTGCTATCCATTCGTTTATTATAGACGTCGATGATGAATTAATTTCATCGCATTTCAATGACACAGAACTTGACGAAATTCGGCCCTCACGTACCTGATCTCCCAGATCAAATCGCTGAATTTCTATATGAATTCGTTGGCAAGGTAATAATTCATATACATGTTAATGACAAACATAGATGTATTGAAACAAAGTCACCAATACCTTTTCCTATTGTAGACTAGCTTGAATGAGATTCGAGAGGCCATAAAGTCAAAGATGTTTGGTAACAACTATGATCATGAAAACCATCACGATAAGGATTATATAATCTATGCATTTTATTCATGGTAAGTATTTTTGTTCTTTGTTAATAATTTATTAAAGCTCTTTAGATGCATCGGCGGGATCAACTAAATTTACTTATTATTTCAGAGTTCGAGAAATTCAAGGTGGGAACATGAAAGACATGATTGGTTCAATTGTCACATTTGGAGTGTAATCTTTGACCAAGCTTTCGGTGATATTAATGTGATATCCGATCGTCAGGTAATTTTTAAAAATTATATGTTGTATACTTTGATGAATCTGACAATGTTTAACATCAAGGGGCGAGAGTACAAGTTTGGTAACAGCTTCTCGAAAAAATATGAAAAGAAAGTCTGAGAGGCGAAAATGGGTCACAGGGGCGACTGGATCGTAGGATCTGTCACTAATGGTGACAAACATGAGCTTGGAGCAGGCGAAGCTGGAAGTGTTTGGACGGATGATCACGGAACCAAGTTCCTTGTTTGAAGTTACCTAAAGTCCTTAAGGATATTCTGGTAAAGTTAATGAAAAAAGTAGATTGGAATAGGAAAAGTGTGCTGAATAATCCGGAAAATTTTCCTTATGTTCTAAAAATACTAGCATCTGCTCTGAACTTAAAGGTTAGTTGAATTTGTTATTGCAATTTTTATCAATAAACATATGCTCATAAATGTCATAAATGTTAGACTGTGATTAAAGAAACATTAAAGGTGATACAAGCAAATGAACAGACTATTGAATCATTCAAAACAGCCAGGCGCCGAAAGAGACCTCGAGACATAAGTCAGCGGCATTTATCTGGTTGCATGTCAACACTGAAAAAGGCAAAGAAGGCAAAGAATGAAAATGCTTGTGCCGAAGTGAATGATGAACGACCATATCCAGAATCACCATGCCCTGGATCACCGAGTTCTGAGCCATTGATTTAATACCTGAATGCAAGAGAATGGCGTAAATACGGGCACTGCTGCGGCTGAATTTTAAATTGGCCGATATGACGTTCTTGCACTGTGGTGCAAAATTTTGGTTGTGGAAGAAAAGTATACAAAAGAAGAGTACAAATGGTGTTACGATGATGCAATCACTGATATTGTACGGCAGAACAATTCTCATATATATTCATCACATAATGCACATATTTATACAATATGGTTAGTTTAATATCAATATCAAGAGAAAAATCATTATGTGATTAATTACAATTGGTGCTGTTGTTAATAGAAAATGATAATAGTGCAACAATTAATAAATTAATGTGATAATAAAGTTTTCCATTATGATGTACGCGTTCCGAAACGGAACGCACACGTGATTTTTCATCGGGTTTTTTTTAAAGTTATTATGTATGAACGAAGTTGTTCTAACTAAGGATGAAAAAGATTATGTAATGCCGAAATCTTAAAACGAAAGGTTTGATAATATACTGCGCCATTTCTTCTGCGCAATTTTGACGAGCCCGGACACGGTGAATTTCTTACACATGAATTTCAAAACATATATTAATAAAGCATTTGTATACCTGCTATCAGGTTTTTTTACTCTACATGTGTTAACCAATATGTAGTATAAATTGATCTTATTTACATAAATTATAGGCGCAGTATATTAGAAAACTAATATTGGCAAATAATACACAATACGTCTAAAAATCCAAGTAGCTGAATTCTTTTTTACTTGACTATAAGCAGATCAAATTGGCTATGGAAAAGACATAAAAAGCATTCTATCTACCACCCATAAAAGTGATGGTATGAAAATAATGAAATAATAGCTAATCTAAAATTCTCTATTGATGATTCTACATTAATGAAAAAAAACATTCTAACTCTCCTGCTCATCCGTTCCTCCGCCGTAATTAATAGTAACATTGATCCCATTCGCATTTTGTAAAAAAGAAGGGGATAGTTGGTGTTACAGGTCTGGAGATGGGAGTTTTTCGATAGTTGATGGTGTTAGTGGATTTGATGATGTTTCGGATGAATTAGGGATTGTAGGTTTTGGTATTCCAGGCGAGTTGCGTTTTAAGCTCCACTCTCTTGTTATAGATTTTATTATATAAAAATTCTAATACTATTTTTGTTGTTAATTTCTCATCCAATTTTAATGATCAGCTGCATATCAATTTTGCTGCAAAATATGTAATAATCTGGTCAAAATTAAAGAATTTTTTATAGTATCATTTATCTTAATTTAGAAATTTTAGGTAAATTTGCTTGCAATATGGTTTAATAAAAGATAATATAAATAAATTTATCAATTAAAACTAAACTTTATTGTTTTTTTTAATAAATCATAATATTATTACAAAAATTTTAGCTATTTGTAATACTGTTATTAAGTTCTTTAAATATCACATATTAGCAATAATTTATTAAAAAATTATGTTAAAACTTTAGAAATTGAAAGTGGTGGACTTAAATATTTTATTAAAATACAATAGATATCTATGTATAAGGTAGTTCTCTTTATCTATATTATTGCCATTAACCTTTTCTAATCTAATGCCAAAATCTCCACTTCTCTTTATATTATTCTTTTAATATAATCTCTACTCTTATTAACTTATATTTGAAAAACTTATTTATCTTCAATTTTCTAACTATTCAAAAATCACTCAAATTTTTTATAATATTTTCATTTGGAATAATTATTAGTACTGATGACATTATTATTCTTATTAAATTTAATTGAAATATTAATCACTCTCATTATAAGATTTACAAGTGATAAAGATCAGTATGAAAATTTAGAAACTTTTATTGATGAGATGATGAATTGCTACTTTATACTAGATCTGAAATACTTAAAGATTGAAATGGATGAAAATTATATTATTTAAAATTAAATCAATATACAATAAATATAACAAATAATATAAATTCAATATTAAAATGATTTTATTCAATATCATTAGATGATTACTAATTAGTAGTAAAATTTAATAACTATAAAAAATATAATTGTATATAATATTTTAAAGTAAACAATAAATTTGCTTAAATATAATACTTATTTAAAAATTGCATATAATTTTATTTGAGTTTAAAATTTATATAAGTTTATATAAATTTATTAATTATTAGTCTAAAGCAAACAAAAAACTATATACTATTTGTGTTAATTTTACAAGGACCCCGGATATCTCCAAAACAGGTCATAAGTCACACTTTCGGCAGATTGGCCCATTTTTCAGGGGTTCAAAAAATCGTTTTTTGTAAATATCTCGGCATCCAGTGGTCCAATTTTGATGAACTTTTTTTTAAATTGTAGAGCTAAATGAGGGCTACAAAATAAAAAAAAGTTCATTAAAATTGAATTATTGGATGCTGAGATATTTACAAAAAACGATTTTTTGAGTTTCAGCAAAAAGGGGTGTTTTTGGCCAAAAGTCCATTATGACCTTTATATTAGATATCCGGGGTCCTATTTTACAAATGTCTTATTATCTGCTCGCTTATTGACAGTTATTGTGTAAGTTAATAGCTATCTATTTGTATTAGTTCTTTTAGTTACATATTATTTTTTATTTATATATGTGAATAAAAATTGTTTATTTAATAATTATGATATACTGTTTATTTTTAATAATCAGAAAATTATACTTTTTATTTATTCAATTTTCTATTTATTTGAAAAATAAACAAACTGTAACAAAAATAAATGTAATATAATATAATTTTATTTAACCTGAATTTTATAATGACAAAACATCCTTTATTTTTTTGATATATATTTTTTTAATTCAAATTACCTATGTTTAATTAAATTTAATTAAAGTTAATGATTTCACTTTTTACTCTGAATTATACTTCTCCGCTAATTAATTACGTCGTATTTCAGTGAACGGACCAATTCACTATTTATTATAAAATTACTATGAATTAATTACGTCTGTCAAAATACATTACGTCTGTCAAAATAAATTTAATTAGTATTTTGTCATTTTGACGAAAAGTATACTCTGAATTTCTAATAATTACCATTCCTTAGTTTTACATATAAAATTAAATCCATATAAAATCTATATTGGATTCTTAAAACTACATAGAATAGTATAATTATGTAAATTTTACATATATTTTTTCATATAAATCTACATATTAGAATTAATTCCTGATGCATAACTTTTAAAAATTATTTATAATAATAAGTATTTTAAAAAGTTATGATTTAAATATAAAAAAAAACAAATAATAAATAAAATAAATAAATTTTACAAACATTTTGTATCTTAAAAAATAATCAATATTTTGCATAATTAGCATTAATTGAAAAATTAAAAGTGCTAAAAGACTCTAAAAATAAATACAAAAATAAAAAACAAAAAATCAACAAGATGATAATAATTTAAATAAAAATAAAAATCAATTCATATAATTACCAATATGATTTGTATTTTATTTAAAACAGGTTAACTATAAAATATTGTAAAGTAAATTGAATTTACAATTTATTATTTATAATATTAAATAATACTTAGGAAAGTTACATATATTAGATAATATTCAGTTTAATATAAACTTACTTGCTTCTCCCTCTTGTCAGATTTAATAACTCATCAAATTATAATATTTATAAATCATATGATTATCTGAAGTATAAGGACATTCTACTTCTAAGCATTTCAAATGCAATGTCATTCTATACTATAGCCTGATCAATGGATAAAATTTTATGTTGCATATATACAAATTTACTACATGTTACAGATCTCATATTACTATTTATTATGTTAAATATATTGATATTGAAATTGCAATTTGCATAGCTAAAAAATAATATACAAGTGCATAACTGTATAACTCTGTGATATCAATAAAACTTTAATAAATAAATAAGTAAAACTTTAAGCAGAAAGAGCTAAACTTTTACTTATTTTGATAGAAGAAGTACTATTGAAAAATTATATTAAAAGTGAAAACTGATTATATTGTGACTTAGAACAAAAGTCTTTAGTAAGATATCTTAGACAAATATTACACAAGAATTTTTAATATGATCAGCTACTGACACAATTTTTTTTTGTGCAATTGATGATCATATAATTATGTAATTATACTGAATACTTCAAACGTTCTAATAGTTTCCGTTTTCTAGTATTATTAAGTGTAATGTAAGATTTTGGTTACACCCTCTCCCGCAAATATATGAATCTTGACCCGTCACGTACGTGAAACTTGACCCACCTGCATGCACATTGTCGATCCTATTCATGGTGTATTGTAAAATATATGTGATCGACAACATGCATGCAGTGGGTCAAGATTAATCCATGTGACGGGTCAAGATTCCCCTCTCCCCCTTTAATAATTACGTAATATCTGTAAGTTCCCTTATTTAAAACTATATGAAATATGGTTGAATTTTAAGTAAAAAATCTACACAGACATATTTTACACATTTACGTTGGATCCTTAAAATTATATAAAATAGTGTATGTAAATTTTATATAGAACTTTTCATATAAAAAAACATATCTTTTCACTGCTGTACAAAAAATAACAATTCTGAAGGCATGATAAAATCAAGATACTAAAAAATTTGCATAAATAACTCAATTATGGCTAAATAATATTTATTATAAATTCAAATGTCATGATTTTATTAGAAATGAACAAGTTCAAAATAAATCACATTTCATATATTTTACATTTTATAGTTCTAACTTCCCTTTAAACATGAACTCTTGTACTCTTGTTTTATACTATTAAAAAAAACGCGAAAATTTTTCTGATAAAATGTTGTACAAAATATCTGACCAATAAATTCGTCAGGTCACGTTACCGAAATTTTTTTAGAGCGTCATGCAGATCATGTAACAATAACCATTTATTCCATATCTGTTTACTGTGTCCCCTCGAACCCAGGTTAACATTCATAAGTCCGAAATGAAATAAAAGGTTTCTTCGCGGAAACAATATTAGTAGATAAATTTGCTTAATTTATTACTTTAATGAATTGAATTACAATATTAGCAAAAACAAAAAATACTAGTAGATAAATTCCTTCAGTTATTTTATCTATCTTCACGCGAAATCATTAAAAAAATTTTTCTACGGATTTATTGTGACCAAACGTTATCTGTGATATTAATAATCAGAATTGAGTTTTGTTTATGGATCACACGTTCTTTATTTTGTTTTATTATTATTTTCCCACATGCGTAACCGTTTTCGTTATCATGCACCAATGACAATATATCGTGACAAACATTTTTGCTTTATAAAGTATAAAAGACTTTTGTCAATAAACAGATAATGATAATCGGAGAGTAAAATGCGATTTTACTCCTTATCTTCATTCTTCAATGACTAAAAAAATAAGACAGTAACTCCGGAATTTTTCTATAAAATAGTGTGATTTAAATTTTTAAACCTTTAGCGAAATATCGACCCAATACAACAAAAAAATTTAAAAATCTTAGATTACGCTATCTCGCCCTATCAAAATGAGACTGAGACTTTTTATTCTTACTACCTTATTCCTTACTTTATCTTTGGCCTGGTTGGCCCAATCTGCTCCTGCTGCCATTAAATTTCCTCCTGCCGCTATCGAAGAAACCGGCCAATTTCTTCTAGAAGACAATCGACCACCTATCTCTGCTCATTTTTCTAATAGTCCACTTGATGAATGTCGTTATTGCGGTGGGTTCACACCTGACCAGTGTTCAATAGCATGTTACCGCTACGGCTATAAGTATTATTGGTGCAGTACATGTTATTGCAATTGTAGTAACTAGGGATGACACGTGAGTGTTTTAAAACAATTTTAGAACAGAATTTTCAAATATAATTGATTTTGATTGATTTTTATTATTTTAAGGGACAATCCAATTTACAAAGTGTAGTAAATTTCGAATCTACTCATAACTTTTGGTTATTACGACCTTTGCTATGTACAATAATAGCAGTTACAGTATTGCGTTTTTTATCATTATAGTTGAAGTTATATGAATTATATGATTGAAAATTTTATTTTTGTAATAACTTTTTATAAATAAAATAATTTACTAAAGTACTTAAAAAAACGTATTATGTAAGCCTGATAAAATACCACGTGATTTTTTGTGGCGCATCAGCTTCATTTGCTTTTTGCATAATTTAAAAGTATAAAACATATTAATTTCATGCTTTTAAAATTTTATGTTTTTAAATTTAGTAAAAAAATAAATTATTTATTTTCTATAAACAATAAAATAGATTTTATTAATAAAAAAAACGATAAGTTCATTTGATTTTTATTGGCTGATTTTGATTCAAGAAAAATTGAAATATAAAATCACATGATTGTCAAGTATACAATAGCACCATATTAAATTTATTTAATAAAAGAAATTAATTTTATTTTTTGAAATATAATAAAAAGTAATTTTTCATCTTTTTCATCTAATATAGATAAGAGAAATTTAGAAATTTATTTTCGTCCATTATAGCACGTCTGAAATCTGTGCCAGGTTGAGGGCGCATGCGCCGCGCCACAGCCATTATCACGTGACATATACAATCAGAAAATTCGCGATCATCGTGTCGCACTGATAAACATATCTCCCATATCGCGCTAGATTTTTTTGCTTTTTTCTCTTTCGAACACCAATATTTTTTTTTTTAATTTAATATAAAAATATAATTATTGTTACAGAATTGTGTTTATTTAAAAAAAATTTTATATAATTATTATTAAAAAACTTTAAATTTAATTATAAAAATGTCAAAAAAAATTATTAAAAAATTAATAAAACAAAAATTCAAATTTATAAATGTAAACAATTAAAATTTTTGAATTAGAAAGCCTATATTATAAATTTTATTGTAAATCATAATGCCATTATGAAAAATGTTATTCATAAATAAAAATAATACGTTGGCTAATTAAAAATGGTGTAAATTAGTATAAATGCTTTGTAAAAATGTTAAAGAATGAAGAATGTATGCTAATAAATATTATGAACAAACCTTGATTCAATTCGGCTGATTTTTTAATATGTTTTTGCTCAGACTATGTTCCTTTTTACCGGCTTTTCTTGTTTTTCAACTAGGAATATTTTGTGGGTCCAAATTTTCCTTATCTTTAATAGTATTAGGTAGTTTCCACTTACATCCTGACCCTTCTGTTTTGCGTCGTTTGACAGATTCAACTTGTACACGAATCATAGAACCACTTCTTAAATTAACCATTAAATCTAAATCACGGTTTAGATCGTAAAGAAAAGAAGTTAGCTGAGAGATAGATTTCAGCTTAGCTGCTTTATAACGCTCTGAAAATTTATCTAATGCAGTACGCAGTTGTGCACCACCATCTTGATAGTCTCTTCTGACTTCTTCTAAGAAATCTGTGAATGCAGAAATATCGACAATTTGGATATTTTCACTTGTTTCTTTATGAGATAGAACGCCATATTCAATAGTTGTATTACTATTTGATGTTTCTGATTCCGTTTGTAAACTTTGTGAAGTGAATTCTGCATGTAATGATGCATAAAAAGAACTATCTTTTGCAATATAACCTAAAGGAAATAATTTGAGTAAATGGATGTTATGATATTAAAACAGATTAATACGGTTACTTACCAAGTGCAATATAGGCATAAACTATACGATCATTTGAAGTCAAAGACGGAATAAAATTGAATGTTGATAAATGGAATTTGACTGAAACTGCATCCTGGTACTTGCAAGGTGCACCGGTCATGCCAATCGGACAAGAGCAAGTTCCAATTTCACTGTTAACAACATAGAAATTAGCATTTTGTGCACTTGGCACAAAAAATTCGTTTTTCACATTACTCTCACTGGTCAAAATAGTCCAAATCGGCTAGAAATCGGATGTCTGATTTTAGGCTGAATTTGGTGATAAATATGGCCGATTTATTAATTTAGGCAAAGTTCTGATTGGCAGGCCGATCGATGCCGATCAGAATGTCTGAATTGTATCTGAATTGCTTATTATTTTTAATCCGAATTGTTTAAAAAATATTATTCATAAATTTACCGAATTGCAGTGAATTTATTCTGAATTATGGTAAATTTGTGACAAAATTTTCTGAATTGTA